TGTGCCAGACTGCAACAGACTAATTGGATCATTCTGTCCTAATGATATTGTTCCCACAAGGAGACGTGGCTGCGTGGGACACAATAGCCCATTTAATTTCACTCAGATCTCAGGAGACAAGAGGAGAAAGGATGGGTTTTTCCAGTTGGGCAAGGGGAAGCTTAATTCTTTTTTGTCTATCTAATGCAAGAAGGGGAAGGAGAAAGAGAAGAGGAGGAGGAGGAAGGGGGTTAAAACAAGAGAAATTCAGTTTCCCAGAGGAAGATGGTTGGATTTAGTTCTCTGATTAACAGGCCGGAAGGTAGAACTGCTGAGTGACACAGCACTGAAGAAAAAAAGAAAAGAAAAGAAATACCCAGGAAAAGCACATAAACGAGATGGGTCTAGATCAGTGGTTCTCAACCTTGGTTTGCTGAGGGAAAGCAGAAAATGACATTACACGCCCACACACTATTGACAACTGAAGTCAAGGCACAGGGAACATATAACAGGCCAAGTTATTTGGGCCCATAAAACAGAACATCCAATAAGCTCCTACTTGTATGGTGAACATGTAGCACTAACCAATTCCAAGACAGTAAAACCTGCTGCCTGACTCTCCCGACTACAGAGGAACATGAGAAACGAAGGTGGGACATGTTTCCAGTTAGCCAGTATTGTCAAGTCCCACTGGCTATAGCTCTCCAGGTATTAAGCTCCCCCTGCCCTATCTGATGATGTCCAGATTTGAACCTGGCACTGTCTTTGTACCAAGTATGAACTGTGCCATTGAGTGCCTACGGATCCTCCTGAAAAACTCCCTCTCCAGCGCCCTAAATGAGGAAGCTTTGGCCTTCCAGCATTTTGGGACATCACTGTTCAGAAGCCCCAGCCAATGTGGGCATTGATAAGGGAATTATGGGGCTTGTAGTCCCTAACATCTGTCCCACCAAAGGTTCCCACAACAGTCTTGCAATGTTTTTACCCTGCCTTTCTCCTTGGAAGGAACCAAGGCAGCTCAACTCAAATCTTTGGATGGATAAGTGGTGAACATACATAGAGCAACAGACAGCCCACTGAAACGCACACCCTGCCCAATTTAAAAGCATACCAGAGTGTTCAAAATCATGGTACTTACGCCTGAGAATCTCCCTTTGCTTCCGGACGTACCACGTATAGAGCGCCGCCCGCTTCTGCGTTTTCATGGGCGTCCCCTTGTTGAGGTGCTGGGACAGGTGGGATTGGTTCAGTCCAGTGACGTCTACCACCTCCCTCTGCGGGATGTTGTGTTGCTGCATGTAACCTTTTATCATCTTTGCAGCCCGCCAAGGATCTTCGCTAAAGGAAAGAAATAATTTAAAAAAAATTAACTTCCAACCAGTGGAAATTCCTGAAAGATACTATGACAGCCCTGATTGGTGCAGGGTTATATTTCCTACCCTGAAATTCTGGGGGAGGTAGCTCCTTCCTGCTTGGGCTTGAATGGCTAGGCAGATTTACTAGGATAAATTACACCTCTCCCCCTCTCCAGAAGGCACAAATATGAATTTGGAAGCAAGTTATAATCTTATAATCTTAATCTTAGAACTGCAGAGCTGAGGGGGGGCTGGTGGATTATTGAGTCCAGCCCATCAAAAAAAGGGGGGGGGATCAAACCAAACTCTGGCTCCATAGCCAGATTTATAACTGCACAGCTGGGGAGGCTGGTGGATTATTGAGTCCAGCCCCTGTCAAAAAAAAGGGGGGGGGAATCAAACCAAACTCTGGCTCCATAGCCAGAGACTTCAAGCAGAGAGCTAATTGCTTGCCATTTCCCTCGTGACTCAACTAGACTGGTTCATGGTGGACTAATGCAGGTATAGGCGGAGATTAGCATATTTCAGACCCCGACTACATGTCCCTTAAGATCCTCCCACAATCCGGCCATGCATGAGTTAAATGTCAACACCAGGTCATGAGGATGTAGCATAATAATTTCGGAACACCACAAGAGGGAGAGGGTCCCAAGTGGCCAACCGTGCTCTTTCAATTCTGCCACCCTAAACTGTGGTTTTCGCTTTCAGATTTCAAACCCAAATCTCAAGCAGCGCTCCAAAGAGGCTCCCATTTCAAACAACGTGACGATCAGTCGCTCTGAAATACACTCCGTTAAAAGCAAATAACATTGTTTTCTGTTTTCCAAAAAAGAAAATGCTCAGAAATGCGTGCCCCTTGTCAGTTGCTTCATATGGAAACACCCACAACTCTTCTTGCTAGGACTAAGCCCTCCCCGCAGCTAGATACACGCACATACACACACAGACATTTGTCATTTGTACTGCTAGATTCTGTGTTGCTTTGGTTGACGAAGAGCAATAACAGCTAAGTTTTGGAAAATCTGGGCACAACTCTATTTGCTTTTGGGATAAGGGCAGAGTGAAGGATATCACCTTTGAACAAAGGTCACCAACTCCCTCAGCTTGGACACACACGTCGGGGTGGTGCGTGTTGTTGGGTCCACCCCCCGAAAAAAAACCACAACGGTTTGTGATTGTTGTCTTCCTTGTGTACCCAGAGCTCCGAGATCAAAGTCAGATGTTTGCTGAGTCACAGAAACTGCACAACCGGCACATGAGTGGGAGCACGAAATCAGATCCGTCCCCCGAGATACGTCGTCGGCCGCTGAGTGGAAATTACCTAACCCCCCAGAATGGCTTGCCTTCCCAGTTTTGGAAAAATTTCAACACCGGGTTTACCTGCCTTCCCCTCCCATCGTTCAGCAACTCCTCGGCCATCTCCGCCGCGTAAAAAGTGGGTAAATAAAACGCAACAACATTCTCCTAAGAAGTATGCCAAGAATTTATTCTACCGGATTATAAAACTCCCCCATCTCCACCGGCAGAGAACAACCTATCTAATCTATGTCTCTCTCTCTCTCTGTACACATTAAACAGAAAAGTGGCTCTGTGGTCAAAAACAGACCAAATGTTTCAAATAACAGCTGTATTGTAGTATTTTTTTTTTGAAAACCAAATCTGATAAATCACTCACCGAATGCTACCTTTTGAATTTTGCAAAATTCTTCAAACACAACATTAAACAAAATCACAAAATCAGAGGATTTTTTATTTTTCTGATAGATAAAAGGATTTAGCCCTTTCTTTCCTTTTTTTGTTCCTTTTTTTTTTTTGGACAATGTGATCAAATTCACCCCCAGCTTGGAAAGCAGTGTCTTTCTGGTGTCGGCGGATACTCCCCTTTTGCCTGCGTTCGCCAGCTTAGCATCACCCCATCCCCTGAGATTTCAGCGTCAAAACCTGAATGCCAATCACTCTGATGGCAGAGGGTGGGACCTTATGATGTCACAGAGGCAGGGCAAGCAAATTTCGGGAAGGGCTTTAACACAAATACCCTTTTTCCCTGAGCCAATGGGCTCCAGTGCCAACTGGAAATGGGCAAGCTTTCTCTTCCTTCAGACATGTTCACCCTGGCTAGGAAAGCAGAGCAATTCCTAAGACATTAGACTTTACTCCTGGGACTTAGAATCCCTACTGTAGGGGTTGATACAAGACAGCACCATCAGCATCCCATCACCAATCTTAAAACAATTTTTTTTCTATCTGAAATAAAAAGACCAAGATCTGGAAGGGCAGAATGAAGGAAAGATCATTAAGTGTAAAGGAGTCACTGGAGATCAAGGCCAAGATCATCCACACTATTATATTCCCAGTTATTCCGTATGAACGTGGAAGATGGACAATGAAGGAAGTTAAGAGGGGAAAAACTCAATTAATTTGACATGTGGTGATGGAGGAGAGCCTTTTAGGTACCATGGAATGACAAATAAGTAGGGTCTCACTCAAATCAAGCCTGAACTCTCTCTAGACAAAATGGGCACTATCATACTGAGCAGATCATCACCGAAAGATTGGTCATCAGAGGGTAAACTGGCCACAGCACCTATGAAATTTACATGATGACACTCTTCAACCACTAAGATCTACACCAGAGGGAAACAGAAAGAGAACCAAATCAGAGATCTTCAAAGTATTTGAGGTAATGTCCACCTTCTGTGGTGGACCACCCCGACTCCATTAGTCTGCATGAATCACTGCTTTGCCTATGAATCCAGAGCAATAAAGAGGCTGGCTCAGAACAGTGACTCATGCAGAGATGCAATACCTTTGAGGATAGTCTCTGGCTAGGTGATAAAGCAGAGTTCCTGATCACAGGGAAAATAAGTAAAATAAGTAAAGGCTGACCTGCGTCTTTCTGTTCCACACAAGGTGGCCATGTCCTGACCGAGGATGAAACCCTGAAACTAGGGATGCATTCTGGAGATGTCAAAGTGGAGTGGGGGGGGGGACAGACAATTGCAAAATGGTGTGTGTCTGTACAAGAGACAAAACAGAAACTCTGTGATGAATTTAAAAGTCAATATGTCAATTCAAGCAACAGCAGCCCTAGAACATGAAAGATGGTGGAAAAGACAAGGGTGCCTCTGAGCATGTTTAAAAGGAAAATCCTCAAGCCACAATAATAAAGTAGGGTGGTCATGCTAGAAGCATCTCAGTCCTGAAGATTCCACAAGCAAAGCACAAGATTCAGAGAAGTGACCCCCAAAGCCTGAAACTTGGGGCCAAATCCTGAGAAGCTGAGGTATGGGGATGGGATCTGGAGTCCTTTCTGATTCTGACATGCCATGGCATGGATTAAATGTTAGCAGCTTGTTCCCAAAGGAACAGAAAGCAACCTCTTGAGATTGCCTTCAAATCAATTTTGTTTTGAAAACCATGCATCAAAGACTGGACTTTAAAAACAACAACAACAATGAGAACACAACATTCAGTTAGTCATAAGAATAGACGTTCTATTCCGATCCCGCGCCCAGGCCAAAGAATCAGCTTTCAGGTCTAGCCGTGCTAGCCGCTGGCTGGTTGGAAGCACCTCCGGCCCCAGCCAGTTCATGACCAGTCTGCCCACATGACTTTGCTGTGGAAAATCACCTGCTTTCCTCGGGCAGAAGGCAGAACGACATGTAAGCCAACCAGTGGCTAAGAAACTACGGTGACAGATGGAAAGAACTCTGCAAAAGCACAGGGACCCACCACAAACACGAATACTGTATTTCAGATTTGTGTCGTCATTCTTCAGTTGTGTATCCTTTGATATTACAAGGGTTTGTGCACATGCACGTACACAGACACACAGACACACAGACACACACACACACACAGAGAGAGAGAGAGAGAGAGCAAAGTAGCCACAATAATTCCTCAATGATTGAGTTCAGTGTAGCCAAACACACAGAGAGAGAGAGAGAGATAGCAAAGTAGCCACAATAATTCCTCAATGATTGAGTTCAGTGTAGCATGTTTAGAGAGAAACACTGTATTGGGACTGTGGGTCTTATAATGATTCTCTACACCAGTGGTCCCCAACCTTGGGCTTCCAGATGTTCCTAGACATCAACTCCCAGAAATCCTGGCCAGCAAAGGTGGTGTTGAAGGCTTCTGGGAGTTGTAGTCTAAGAACTTCTGGAGGCCCAACGTTGGGGACCAATGCTCTACACGCCACGTGATTTGTAGTGAGGAAGGGGGTTTGTCCCGTGATTATTTCATCAATTCCAGCATAGCAGGGATGAATGTCAAGCTGAGAGGTGGCGTCTTGTTCTGATTAAGGTCATCAAAGACCAGATCTTGTTTTTGAGGTGGTGGTTCTTCTATGTCTAATTGTAAGGATTTTGCCATTTCAATCACTAGTTGAGAGTAAAAACCGTCTAATGGGGAAGGTGGGTGATTCTCGGTGACATCAGAAGAAAGCGTAGGTAGATTAAAGGGAGATTCTTGAGAAACATCAGAGTTGGAATCTGGAATGGAACAAGAAGAGTCTGAAGATGGTGATGGATGTGGAGGTTTAGTCGTCGATACCGAGGTAGGCAGTAACTGTGGAGTAGTATGTTGTTCAGTGTCGGTAGGAGGAGGACCCTTATAAGTGGTAGTAACTTGTAGAGAGGTTTGGTGTCGAGATTGTTTGAAGGATTCAATCACTAGTTGAGAGTAAAAACCGTCTAATGGGGAAGGTGGGTGATTCTCGGTGACATCAGAAGAAGGGGTAGGAGAAGGGGTAGGTAGATTAGAGGGAGATTCTTGAGAAACATCAGAGTTGGAATCTGGAATGGAACAAGAAGAGTCTGAAGATGGTGATGGATGTGGAGGTTTAGTCGTCGATACCGAGGTAGGCGGTAACTGTGGAGTAGTATGCTGTTCAGTGTCGGTAGGAGGAGGGGAAAGGACCCTTATAAGTGGTAGTAACTCGTAGAGAGGTTTGGTGTCGAGATTGTTTGGAGGATTGTTCTC